GCTGCTGTTGCTGCTGCTGCCGCTGCTGCTGCTGCTGCTGCTGCTGCTGCTGCTGCTGCTGCTGCTGTTTGCAGGTGCTTAAAGAGCCTCACGTTTTTACCTGCACTGTGGGGAAGAAGCCCTCGCATGCGAAGTATGACAATTTATAAATATAAATATATATATATATATATATATTTATTTATTTATTTATTTATTTATTTATTTATTTATTTATTTGTATTTATATATTTTATTTATTTTGTTTGTTTTATTTGTTTTTGCGTCTCCTTCCTATCTTTGCTGATTCTCTCTCTTTCTCTCTGCTTCTTCTCTCCTACATTTTTATTTATTTAATTTATTTAATTTAATTAGTTAATTAATTAATTAATTAATTTATTTATTTATTTATTTATTTATTTATTTATGCAGGTATTATCTGATGGATACTGGAGAGGTGTCCGATTTGCTGGGGGCGCTGCGACTCGTTTCAGAGACTGTCGGCCATCTCCACAGACACCGCAAACTGCAGCAGCAGCAGCAGCAGCAGCAGCAGGAATAGCAACGGCAGCAGCAGGAATAGCAGCAGCAGGAATAGCAACAGCAGGAATAGCAACAGCAGCAAGAGCAGACTTACCTATGCGACAGATATGCACATAGCACAATATATATATATATATATATATGCTGGTTTGTTTTTTATTTCTTTATCTATTTAAACAATATATATATATATATATATTATGTACATTTATATTATATATATATAATAATGCATAATTTATTTTTTATATATATGTATATATTTGTTTTTTTTGTGTTTTTGTTTGTTCAGTATGACGCCTTTCATCACAGCCAAACCCTCGGCCCTCGAGCATTTGCGTCTTCTACTGTTAGACCAGAGCAGCAGCAGCAGCAGCAGCACCATCAGCAGCACCATCAGCAGCAGCACCACCACCACCATCAGCAGCAGCAGCAGCAGCATGCGCGAGGACAGAGCATAGACGAGGAAGAAGAGCCCGTGCCTCCCCTACGCCACCGACACAGCCAGCAGCACCAGCTGGAGCAGCAGCAGCAGCAACAGCAGCAGCAGCAGCTGCTGCTGCTGCAGCACCAACAGGGGCACTGGTCTACAGACAGTATGGGTTCAAGATTAAGTCATCGCAGCTTGGAGACAGATGATGATGAAGACAAACAACAAAAAACAAAAGCGTATTCGTCTGTCTCCTAGGCTGCGTCAGCAGCAAGCCGGGTGTATATGCATTATGATTATGCTGCTCTCAGTTTGTGGGGTGTATATATATATATATATATATACACCTGACTTTCATTTTATTAGGTGTATATATATATATATACACCTGGTTTTGAGTTTGTGGGGTGTACGTACACCTGGCCAGTTTGTGGGGTGTACGTACACCGTGCTCTCAGTAGTTTGTTGTGGGGTGTATATGCACCTGGTTTTGAGTTTGTGGGGTGTATATACACCTGGTTTTGAGCTTGTGGGGTGTATGTGAGGGGGGAGGATGAAAGATATAAGAAGAGGTGCACGTACACCTCGTTATTATTGAATTGCTGAAGTGCAGAGGCGTCTTGATATGTGTTTTGCTTCTTTAACCCCTCTCTGTCTCTGCTCCTTCCCTCTCTCATTCATTTCTCTTAATTCGTCTTGGTGCTGCTTGTTGCACTGCTGAGACACGAGGCTGCTGGCTACCACGCGGTGCAGCAGCAGCAGCAGCAGCAGCAGCATTAACAGCAGCAGCAGTAGCAGCAGCAGAAGCATGCTGTCTGCCTGCTGTTGTTGCTTCGTTTTCTTCTTCCTGGGGAGTTCATCGTTGATTGTCTGTCTCCCTTTGTTTGTATTCCTGCTGCTGCTGCAGCAGCAGCAGCAGCAGCTGCTGCTGCTGCTGCAGTTGCTGCTATTTTGCTGCTGCGCTTCGTTCGTTCCTCTCAGCTTCCGACTTGACGCTTCTTTTGCACAGCGTAGAGCAGACAAACAAACATAAAAATAAACAAAAATTAATTTATGTTTTGAAAGAAGATATTAAAAAAGGGTTTTGCTATACTAGGCGCAGGGGGGCCCCCTTATTAGGGGCCCTTCAGGGGGACCCCAGGGGGGCCCCCTTATTATAGGGGCCCTTTTGGGGGGCCCAAAGGGGGCCCCCTTAATATAAGGGCCCCTTAGAGGGGCCCCAGGGAGCTTTCCTTATTAGGGGCCCTTCTGGGGGGCCCCATGGGGCCCCCCTATTAGCCCCATAAGGGCTCCAGGGGGGCCCCAGAGGGGCCCCCTTATTAGCCTCAGAGGGGCTACAGGGGGGCCCCAGGGGGCCCCCTTATTAGGGGCCCCTTTGGGGGGCCCCAGGAGGTACCCAGAGGGGCTTCAGGGGGGCCCCCCTGGGGCCCCCCTGAAGCCCCTTCCTTAATTGTACGTTTACCCACTGAAGGCAGAGAGAAGACAGCAGGGTTGCAGTGTACATACAGCCTTCGCAGCAGCAGCAAGCAACAACAGCAGCAGCAGCAGCAGCTGCTGCTGCTGCTGCTGTTGTTGTTGCGGGGCTCGCG